TTGCTATGACACACCACACGTATACACAAACAGTACAAACAACCTCGCCGATCATGTCTTGGTGGAATTCCTTTGAAGAATTGCAGGACTTACACCAGTACGCCTGCAACCCTTCACAGGTTGACGATTGTAAGTTGTGGAATGTCCAGACACAAACAAGATTAACCAACAATTACATCAATTGGAACTCACACAACTATTTAACACAAACATATGTACAATCAACACATCAAATGTTGTGGATTCTGACACGACAAACTACCCTTGAAGAACCGTAGGACTTACAGCAGTACGCCTACATTCCTTCTCAGGTTGATGATCCAAGTGGAAGTCGTCCGGACACAAACAGAATTACCAACAGCTAGATGACAGATGATATCAATTCAGTATATACAATATGAACATATGTACAAAATCACACACCAAGCACACTGGACTGCTCATTGATGCGCTACCCTTTGAAGAATTGTAGGACTTACAGCAGTACGCCTACAACCCTTCTCAGGTTGACGCCCTAGGTTGGAAAATCGTCGCAGAGTTCATTTGCTAACTTCCTTCTATCAGCTATATCCTCAAATCTGAACGGCAACACGCCCATGTCATTGTATCGTAGAATATAGATGACCAACAAACACCCGACATATCTCATCAACCAAGTGTAGAAACAGAGTAATTTACACCAAAGATAATAACATTCAAATAGTAACTTGAAACTAGAAATGCCTTTATTCGTGCAAGTCAATTTAACAATTACTCTCTCGTTTACACTTGGCTTATCCACACTAAACTGACCATTGATATTCGTCCTTTCAAACGAACTGATACTACCATAGTCATTGCACAAGATACTTGAGTTGATGGGTGTCTGTTTCATTGTGGATGACAGCACCAACGATGACTGAGTGACACAAGGTGATGAACTTAGTGGTGGATCAGAAGCTGTTCTTGTTCGGCTCTCAGATAGTTGTCCAACTGCAAGATTACCACCACTGCTGTCTTTCACTACTAGTTCGGGTTTAGCACTATCATCTGATGATAGGTGGGCTACATGCTGATCACTTCCACTGACGGTCTCACAAGTATGCATGCCTTCTGCAACTGAATCTGCATTTATTTCTACTTCACGTTCAAGTTGTACAGAACCTTTATTTAACTTAGCAGTAGTAGGCATATCCCTCATTTCATCATGATCAACCAAAGACAACTGTGAAGTATCATGATCATTATCACGAATATTCACTTTACCGTCAACTTCATCATTTTCAAACTCTTTAATAACAGAAGTAGACAATTTTGGTTCCTCCTCGCAAATCATTAAAGGTTTTACATCTTCACTCTGACTAGTTATACTTTGTAAACTTTTGGAGTCAGAACTCCACTCTGAAGCAGTAACTCTATTCTGTGACACTCTATTCAGCAACGGCTTACCAGTTGCAACTACAGACTTCTTCACAACAACGTTATCGTCACACAATTCGGAGTCAGACCTTGAGTTTACATTTAGCTTATCACTGAACTTGCTCACTGGTTCACAGCTCACCTTTGTATGCACCTCTTGCACACGTGTAAACAAAACCGTGTTTGTCTTGCATCTTGCAACTTATCTGTTGAGGATGTACTACGAAAGCTGTTACACTCACTAGATCTATATGCATTACTAGACATCATGGAGCCTTCTCGATATCCACCTCTCTGAGGCTTATTCGTCATCAATGAGTGCGTTTTACCCTCAGACTGCTCTATTCTATGGGTGAGATCTAACAGACTGGCGAACTTGCTCATAGATTGATTGACACTAGTATTTACCAGTTTCAGGATATCATCAAACTTTGGCTCGATACCCTCATCCTCCATACGGGAGCTCATCTTCACCCACTTCCTTTGCAGTCGAGTAGGTAGGCGTCTTGCTATTACTTCTAGTATAAAACTCGAGTTGAGGTCACTCACGCGATTCATCGAAATCATTCCATTCTTGTAAATTAGCAAATTATCTAAAAACTCAGTGAGTGCCTGGGAGTCATCCTGTAACTGACCACCATTACCCTCAACAGCCTCGAATAATTTCCCTGCAATCATCGAGGGTCTTCCAAACCTTTGGCGTAATATGCTCATAGCCTCAGCGTATCCCTCTTTGGCGGCATAAACTTACAACACTGTATAGCTCTTGAAGCATCTCCAGTGCAATATTTCATCAAATACATCAATTTCAATTCATCATTTAATAAAAAACTACTCAACATGATCTCAAACTCCTTTACAAATTGTAAATAATCAGCCGGGTTTCCATCAAAACATCGTGGTTCTAATTTAGGGAGTTTGATGTTCCTAATATCCCTGAACGGCGAAACAGTAACATCAACCATGTCATGCTTAACATCAGACACATCGTTACAATTAACAGACAAGTCACCATGACTTACTTTCCTGTTTGCATCCAAGACACTCTGTCCCTTCTTTGACCCAGGCATTGTTGAACTTGACCAAATTCCAAAAACGTTTCAGATATTGCTTGTTCAAAGAGGACTTGACCGGCACCAGGAAAGAGGAACGGCGACTATCCAAAATTTCACCAACTGTTTCAATCCGCCAGATCTGTTTCTATCGTCAGAAACTGTCATCAAAGTCTCATAAACCGTTAATGCCCAGCTCTCGCTACGCTCGGGCCCACGCTGTTCTTCGAAGATTTCTGAGAAACGCTTAGTAACAACGGACGAAAAAACCAGAACACCAATTGTTGACTTGAGTATTATGTATTGTTACACCAGCATATAAATCAAGTATCACTAAGCAAACTAAGAAAACTAAGGTCTGTAAACAAATATTATAATAATAAATCGTTATGTTACTTCTGACGATGTTTAACTCTTCTTTCTGAACAGCGACCGATGAGACGATGACTGTCGTATTGATGCCTCCGCGAAAATCGAGGAAGTTGATTTTGAGCAAACAACCAAGAATTGATCGTTCAATCTTCAACTCCATTGACACAAGGGTTGCTTTGGTCCTTTAATACCCAAGCAACCAGCCAGTTCAGCATCTATCAATGTAACGTCTGAACCATTATCCAACAATGCATAAGTCTCTACTGAAGATTTCGACCCTTTCGCCTTAACTGGTAATACCCCTAAGAAAACTTGTGGGGTGTCAAGGGGTCTAGAGATACTATTACAATTAACCGAATTCCCAGGTTCGTTCGCTGTCCTCAGAAGTGGGTGCATATCCGTTAAACCACTACTTCTTTTATTTGTCGCCTTACAATTTCATCTTGTATGCCCAATCTTTAAACAAGTGAAACACAGCCGCTTCTGCTTTGCCATTTTTAACCTTTCTACGGGTGACATAGCGATAAAGCGATTACAATCACTCAATTGATGCATGTTATGGCAAACAATACACTCATCCTTTCTCGTTGTGTCTTGAGACTTCACCACAAATGCCTTCCTTATATTCACTGGTTCCTTAGGTTCTACCTTAGAATGCAAAATGCTGGCGAATTTGCCCATCGCCTGGTCGACACTGTCCTTCACCAGTCTCAGAATATCATCAAACCTTGGCTCGATACCCTCCTCCTCTATGCGAGAGCTTATTTTTACCCACTTCCTTTGCAGCCGAGTAGGTAGGCGTCTCGCAATTACCTCTAGGACTGAGCTCGAGTTGAGGTCACTCATGCAATTCATAGAAATCAAGGTATTCTTATAAGTCATAAGATTATCCAAAAACTCAGTGAGTGCCTTGGAGTCATCTCGAAGTTGACTGCCATTACCTTTGACAGCTTCGTATACGTTCCTTGCAATCATTGAAGGTCTTCCAAACCTTTGACGTAATATGCTCATAGCCTCAGCGTATCCCTCATTAGGGGGCATGAGCTTACAGCACTGTATAGCTCTTGAAGCATCTCCAGTGCAATACCTCATCAAATACATTGACTTCATTTCATCACTTAATAAAAAACTACTCAACATGATCTCAAACTCCTTTACAAATTGTAAATAATCAGCCGGGTTTCCATCGAAACACCGTGGTTCAAATATAGGAAGTTTGATGTTCCTATTATCCCTGAACGGCGAAACAGTAACATCAACCATGTCAGGCTTAACATCAGACACATCGTTACAATTAACAGACAAGTCACCATGACTTACTTTCCTGTTTGCATCCAAGACGCTCTGTCCTTTCTTTGACCCAAGCATTGTTGAACTTGAGCAAATTCCAGAAACGTTCCAGATATTGCTTGTTCAAAGAGGACTTGACCGGCACCAGGAAAGATGAATGGTGACTATCCAAACTGTTACCAACGGTCCAAACCCGTCGAAAACTGACTTCACCGTCAGAAACTGTCAGCCACGTCTCGTAAACCGTTAATGCCCAGCTCTTGCTACGCTCGGGCCCACGCTGTTCCCTGAAGTTTCTCAGAAACGCTTAGTAATAACGGACGAAAAAACCGAAACACCAATTGGTGACTCGACGATTCTTTATTGTTACACCAACATATAAACAATGTTACAACTAAGGTCTGTGAACAAATATTGCAATAATAAATCACAATATTACTTCTGACAGTTGTCTCCTGACTTCTTTCTTAACAGCGACCGATGAGACGATGACTGTCGTATTGATGCCTCCGCGAAAATTGGGGAAGTTGATTCTGCGCAAACAACCACGAATTGATCGTTCAATCTTCAACTACATTGACTACTATTATTATTATGAAGTCTGCATTATTTTTGCTTTTAGCTAAGAAGAATTCCCACAAGACGACGCTGATTCGGTTTGAGATAACATGTGTAATAAGAACATTGGCTAATTTACACTGTGCACACTATCAGCCTAGCTGTCGTTATGCCGAGGCATGTTCATGTGTTGTTTGTTTGCAGCTGAAGTTGTGAGCTTGTAACACTTGTTTCTGCAATGTGCATAAATGCTTGCATAAGTTTTACAATCTGACAGATTTGTTCCTTTGTATTTGAAGTGAATTCTCGGTAGGTTTCATGTGATTTCGTCTAATCTGACTGAGCTCTTGACAACTCTGATTGTAAGTTTTCTAAATCCTTCTCGAGTCCCTGTCTTTTATTCATTTCAATATCCAGTGCAGCACTACTAGCCTTCAGCTTAAATTCATTGGCTTCAAAATTCGCTTTCAATGACTCAACATCTGAAGATAATTTTTCACAATCCCGTTGTGATTTGGCTACAGTGTGCAATTTATCAGTTTTAAGATTTTCTACTTCAATGAGTAAGCGTAAAACGTGTTTACGCCATGCAGAAAGTAATTTCTCGACTTTTTCTGATTTATTATTATCAGCATTTGATATTTTATCATCACTTTTGCCAAATAACTGTTTCTCTTGAATTTCTAAAACTGTCTGTAAACTGCGTATCGAAATGTTGGCTTGTTCAAGTTCATGATTTAATTGAAAATTCTTATTCTCTAGACATTTCAACTTTTCTAATAATTCAGTCTCACATATATACTTATGTGTTGATGGTTCTCTGGTATCTGTTTTCTGGGCATACATCTCATCAGCTCTGCCTAGTTCAATATACGCTCGTAATTTATTCAATTCACTTAAAGCTTTTGTTTGACTATGCAGTAAATAGGCATTTTCTTTTGTTAACTTTTCAACAAGTTTATTCATTTGTTTATAATCACTGTTGTTATTGTATTCCACCATCTCATGAAGTTTTGAAGAGTTTAGAAGATTATTTGATTTCTTTGTTAATTCACTCATATCTGAATCCACTGACGATAATTCAGTATCTCTGTTACTGAGCATTGATTTTGTAGTACCAACCGCATCGTTATGATCTTTTGCTGACTGGAAGGTAGTGTTCAGCAACAGAGGTGGTAACGAGAAAAGCAGAAGGTGGTAACAAAACCTCATCTGAATGTTCGTTTTTCATAATCCGAGGTGAAATGGTGAGCCTTTACCCGGGGTCAGAGCATTCTTGATCACCCTGAACCCGGCGCCAGGTAAGTTTATTATTATTTATTATCTCTGGCAAAATCTGTCATTATCCAATAATTTTTTCAACGAAAAAAGCTTTTGTATCCAAATTTACATTACTGACTTGACTAGCTATGTACTGTCATTAAGCCACTCATCTACTTACAGACTTTTTGTTGACAATTTCCCCTCAAATCAGGTTATTTTTCATTCCACACAACCTTGGCTCACATTCCTTTCAGTTGTAAAGGCTTCTTATGTTCGCACTTCCACTCTTTATTTGTCGTCTTATTTCGTCTTAGGTTTGTACATTTTCGTATGCACGATCATGTCTTACAGTATTTAATACTCAAAGTATTCAGCCGAAAAATGCTGAGAATTTCCACTTTTTCAAAATTTTTACTTCTATTCTCATTTTGATATGCTTTTAATAGGATGTCAGGGTTCTCCATTAAGACTTTCTGAGGGTAAATGATTTCACCATCTTATCTCCGATGACTGCTACGAATATTTCCTTTGTGTTTTTATCTTTGATTTTACGAGTATAATTTTTGAATTTCGGTCTACCTCCATCTTCTCTGAGGCCTTTGTACTTAACATTGAAGTTTCCTTGCGCTAATTAGAAGACAATATTTCTTTTTTATGTTCTCCACTGAACGACTAGTTAGCTGATTGTTCCTATAAGCTGAAGTCAAAATTTCAACCGTGTAATTTCACCATAAACGAAATTTATGTAATTTACATTATGCTTATCCATGCCTGTGAAATTGATGTACCCTACATAGGTATAAAAATTATATATTTTTCAGATAATGGTCTTCACCCACTTCTAATTCTCTTCTCATTTTGGCGTCCAAAAGTTTGCGTCTCCACTTTCTTGAGTGATACTGGGATGTGGTCTCTTTAAATTTCATATTGTCCATCTGGTGTAACTCATCTGGCTGTCATTATTACTGTCATTATTTCATTGTCTTCTTTTGTATATATATCTTGTGTCAGTGAAAAATTTTAAAATTGGTTACTTTATGTGTACATAATTAACATATTGATGATGCCATTCAACTGGAGTCCGTCATGTGCATAATGTGAGAATTTATTATTAGAAGATGCATCTTATTGTTATGTGAGGGAACTGACTTCAAGCTTTGTTTATTTTCCCAAGTATCTGTAATCCATCCAATGCATACTTCTTTTTTTGTTAATGCGGTGTCAATATCTCTGCATTTCTTGATGTGATCCATTGGATCACTAGTTTTCAGATTGTTCCCACAAACTATAGACAAAATGACTGCAACCACATGATTTAACCTTAAATCATGTAATTTAAATAATACATATTCATGCCTATCAAACTGGTGTGTCCTATATAGGCAGGAATATATATGTACCGTATCATATTATCATTAGTAACTATGCTTTCTAATCGTATGTGTAATTTATCGAATTGATGATGCCTGTAAACTGGCGTCCCTCATGAACAAAGACGAGGATATATTATTATTATATCCTTGTGCTTGTACAGGCTGTCTCCAATCGCTGAAGGCGTAGTGGTTTAGGAGAGTTCTCCACGCTCACTCTTTTGGCCAAGAGCCTCTCAACCCCTTGTGAGTGCCATTTCTCTGTTGTCTCTTCCTGGTTTGACATTAATTTCATCTATTGCATATGTGTATCCATTTCATCAGAGTCAAGTTCGTTACTGTTTGTAGTTGTCAGCAGCTCTGATAATTTTAGCCTTTCTTTCTTTTGAGTTGAATCTTGATCTCATTATCCTGGACGAGATTTTTCTCATAATGCATGAGGGCTTTGGAAGCAGTTGTTGAATTCATGATAGGCACGGTGAAGATATGTTCATGGCTATCCTCTGAGTAACCCAAGTAGACTAATGACTCCATAAAAAATTGGAGAGTCTTCATGTATTCCATTAGGAGTCTCAGATTCTTCTCACTTCCGTGCGTATCCTCTCATCTTTTTGAAAATCAATGTCATATATACGAACTACCGTATGCCAGGCTGGTCTCATTATTCTTACCCCTTAGTTAAAAGGTTCACAGTCTTCGATGAACTTCTGCATGGTTCGCCCCGCTACTTGACTGTTGTAGCCTTGTTTGACTTCAAAAGGAGTGGCGCTGGGATTGATAAAATTTGGTTTGTATTGCGTGGTGTGTTAACGTGGTGTCTCTACTGTGAATGGAGTAGTTTCTTTTATCCATTAGTCGTCTGGTGAGGTCTAGAAGAGAGGTAGCAGCAGTAATAGGTATAATTAGTGTAGATCATATAGACTTTGGAAGAGAAAGAGGGAAAACCTAAAGACAGTCAGTGAAATTGAAAGTTGATATGAACGTATAAATGTGGGATGGTAATGTCAGGGAATTGATCGGAGTTTTCAGGATAGTAAGACAAGGGAGAATGTGAAGCATACCCGCATACCCGTTAATAGTATGTGAGTGTCAAACGGATAGACTGTTTGTCAATCACGTCTCAAAACCGTTAATGCCTAGATCTTGCTACGCCGGGCCTCTCGCTGTCCATCAAAGACTTTCAGAAACGCTTACTACTAACGGACGCAAAATCCAGAACACCGATTGTCGACTCGAGAATTCTTTATTCTAACACCAACATATGAGCAGTATAATAAACTAAGGTCTATGAACAAATAAAACAATAATGGATCACGATATTACGTGCTTTCTGAACAGCGACCGATGAGACGATGACTGTCGTATTGATGCCTCCGCGAAAAATTGGGGAAGTTGAGTTTGAGCAAACAACCATGAATTGATCCTTCCATCTTCAACAACATTGACACCATTTGGACGCGTTCATTGTGTTACTGCGTAATTATTCAGCCTGTGCTTAAAGCTTTCCGTGGACGGTGCAGTAGCCAGTCTTCTGGTAGGCAGTTCCAGGCATAGCAAATTAGAATTGAGGGGCAATGGGAATGCACTCGAGTCTTGCTCAGTGGTAAACCGTGCTGCGTGGGTTGCCAGGAGGAGACCCAAACTTCATTAGTAAGAGAATATTTTTGTGTGATGCTGATTATTTTTACTCTTACAAACAGTAATTCGGTCACTTCTTAGCTGACGGCAGCTAAGTGTGTAGAGATATATTATCTTCAGCCATACATCTCTGAGTTTTATTTGAATAGTCATTGCCCCTACGTCATCTGTTTTTGGGAATTCTTTTCAAAAGGTTGACTTCACTTCCAGGTGACGGGGAAACAATGATATTATGCACTTCAAGATGCGGTCTTACGTATATTTGTACAACCCCAGAGAGACTTCAGGAGTGATCACATCCAACTGTCCATTAGTAAAATGTATGACCCCATATCCGGTGTCATTCATGTTTGTGCCCGTTTGTTGTGTTAGAACAAGACCGAAGACTCGCTTTTACGCAGCGCAGAACAAAGCTATCCTTACTCATGAAGTAAGTTTCATTCTGCATTCAACAGTTGCGCAGTTGCAGTGGTCCATGTTTTTTCAGGTTCAATGACTATCGCACAGTCTCTCAGAAATCTTCGTCTGCCTGTAGCCAATCCGAGTCTTCCGATTATTGTTCAAATTCTCATGTAATCATCGTATAGAAAAGCCATGCAGTTTACATAGCATAGCAGGTAACAGATAATAATCAGAAATGTCACTGGTCCTAGAAAATGAATCACACGATACCCTGACGTCGAAACCTGTTACGATGGTCAAACACGACTGGCAGCGGAGCAGAAATTACTTTTCTCCAAGCATGGAAGGAGCGCCCCACCTACACATAACCGACATATTTTGTATGCGAGACAATATTAAACGGGGTGTGAACAGTGAAGAAAATTTTCTGCCCATCGATTCATTTTCATGAGCCGTCATATCGTAATTATATTTAACAAAGAAATCTTAGGATCAATCAGATACTAGTAGACTTTTTCCTCTGAAAATATATCACGTTATGTAAGGTGTAACCTAGAAGGGATGGCTAATTGTAAGCTAGAAAAGAGGCAGAATTTCGCACGACGTTATAAGTGAGACACAATGGCTAATCAATAAACTCGTTTAGAGTGTATAGAGACTAGTGGAAAGGTGATAAAGTCTTTTTGTGTAAAATCTGTGTAAAAAGGAATGTTATTGAAAGGTAATACGGTCGTAATAAAATATAGATGATGAGGGTAATAATGATTATAAAATAACAGCTGTAATAATAATGGTAGATTTACACAAAAGAAGAATATCAATGTAGTTGAAGATTGAACGATCAATTCATGCTCGTTTGCTCAAACACAACTCCTCCATATTTTTCGTGGGAATCATCAATAATGCAGTCATCGTCTCATCGTTCGCTGTTCAGTGGAATATAAAAACTGTCAGAAGTATTGTCGTGATTTATTGTTATAACATTTATTTTTAGACCTTGTGTGTAATAACCTGTTTACAAATTGGAGTAAGAGTAAAGGATTCTGAAGTCCCCAATCTGTGTTCTGGTTTACGCGTTGGTTATTACGTATTGTTTCTGAAAGTCTTCGAGGAACAGCGTTAGGTCCAGCGTAGTAAGAGCTTGACATTGACAGTTACTGAGAGTTGGCCGACAGTTTCTAATAGTTTCTGTTCGTCTCTGCTGGTGTCTGCGAGTTTTCTCTGGACAAGTATTATCTAGGACTTTTCTGGAACTTTTGGTGAAGTTCAGTGATGCCTGAATCAATCAAGGGACAGGGCGACTTAAGAGCTAGCAGGAAAGTAAGTAATGTTGAGTTGTCGGTTACATGTAATGATATGTATGAAGATCAGAATGATGAGTCTGTTGTTTATGGTTCGCCGCTAAGGGATAGTGAGGGTTTAAAATTAACT